GTCAAACAGTAGGAACATCAAAAATACACTTCAAGAATGAGACTTCTTCAAAAGAGAATATAATTTTTACTACAACTTACTAATGATGCATCCAAGCTAATAATTTGAAACATATGTTATTCCTTTTTATTCACTATTTTAGGTTTGTGTTTTATATAGGTTTTTTTATTAAAAGTGACTAATTTATTTTCATGAAAGATTAAAACAATAATTACATCTATCCATAAATTAAATTATTATAAGCATGTAGCTTAATTTATAGTTGTAATCCATAATATAAAATTGTAAGTTTAAAGCTGATTAATTTAACTTTTAAATCACTTGTAAAAATTTTATTAGAAATATTAAATAAAGCTAAATAATGTTATGCAGAAGATAAAAAATATTGTTTTTTATTCTTTGAATTTACTCTCACTGACAATTCACCTAAAATTATAATTATTTTTTTATTTCTTAAATATTTATTTCCAGATATGACTATTTGCTTTTAGTTTGATTTGTTTATTGATTTAGTATAAATAAAGATTGTTTAATGTACTCTTAAATATCTCTTATTTCTTTTCAAATGTTCTTATGAATATTTTTAATATAATATAATTTTTATCAAACTCATTAGTATAATGTTATAATTTATAATTTTATATTATTCTTTCAGCTAATTATTTTAAATCTTCATATAACTGGGATATATTCAAGAAATGGATTTGATCTTTCAATATGTATGAGATAGCTTATACCATATTAGATACCATATTATTAATGAGACATGAATGCATAATTTTATTATAAAGCATTAGTACAGGTTTGTTTTAAAACTTTACATGAGCTTTATGTTTTGTTTCAATTTTGTATTATATCAATCATATCTAAGCATAGGGAAAATATCGTGTTAGTTCAAATGGTAAATTAAGTATTTTATAAAAAACGTTAATGGTCTCGAAATAGAGTAAAATTATATGTCACATTTGTGAGAAAAATACAACTCAGCCTGTAAAGATAGAAAATCTATTTTATTAAATATTTATATTAGATATTCTTTAAAAAATATTAATACATGTGTAAAACCTTTCTAACCAAAATATAAGTTACTAATAGATCAAGAGTATGTAACACATTTTGTAAGTTATAATATATAAGATAAATACTACAAAAGTTA